AACGCAGGTTACAGCAACAGTGGGACCTCTGATCCGAGAGGCGATACAGGGTGATATGATAGTGATACGGGACGGGAGTGTTATTGGCGGGGTACGGAAGTGATAGTAGCTAAAAATTGACAAGGTAGCATGGGAAAATCCGCTTCACCGCTCACAACAACAATGCGATCGATATGACTCAAGTATAACGATCTCAGTGATTCCAACAGAACTCATTCCTCACTGCTTATTAGTAACGACATCGTGTACGACCGCTAAGCCAGCTCTATTCCAAATGCATGTGGTTTGTTTACAGAGATGTTATGAAGGCAGCGGCAACATGACTGTTATCGCAGCTCTTACCACAATTATCTGTCCATTCAGCAATTCAGTGAGGGTTAAGGGTTCCACTGCTGAATGCGGTAGTGCATTCCAAAGCAAGACGCTTTAGGAAGACAGATTGCATAAATTATAGGCTGCTTCAGTGGCTGTCCAAACAGGCTGCACTATTTCCGTGTAGGTTATGAACGTACCAGTCGGATCGCTGGCTAAGGCCGGCTTTCTCTTCTGTGATGGGCGGGGGAGGGGGCGCTGCTGCTGCTTCTGCGCCTTGACGGAACAAGCGCTGCTTTTCAGTTCTTGGCTGATGCAGAAGATTCCTTTGAACAGTGTGGTTGGTCCTTAACTTAGCACGCGGCAAATCCGCATGGCCCGGCGAAGCCGGGCCATGTCACAGAAGGAGGAGCGCCCGGCGACAGCCGGGCGATCCGACTGGTGTGGTCAAAATAGAAAATAAAAACGGCCTAAGCGTCCCACTCGTTAGTTTGAAGTATTTCTATAGCATTAGAGCCGGATTCGAGCCGGATCGCAGAAATGCACACGCGATTTAATTTATTGCGTTTCCTTAGTTTTTTCAATTTTGTTTTATTTACATCTACATTCGTTGTTCTTCATTTCTAGCCTTTGTCATCTTCATCACCTTCTATTCGGACTTTGAAGCATGAGCAATACCTCAAATGTTAGGAAATTGCGTTTTGCTTGTATTGTCATGTTTTATTGTCATGTTGTCCGTTTTTATTGTCATGTTCTGTGGGAATGCGCGGCCTCTGAGGATATTGCAGAAGCACCACAGTTGCTCTTGAGTTCTAGCTTGTCATCAATCATTCGGGTTCCTATTTTGCAGCACCTAAAATGTTATCCGCATAAAGAAATTGCGTTGTACTTGTATTCCAAAGCGCAATTACAAGACTTGGCCAAAAAGCCAAGAGAGAGCCTCGCACGCGGACCGCGCGGCGCGGTGGTGTTAGCATAACATCTTTGAGCGGAGGTTTTTTTTTTTTTTTTTGTTTTTTTTTTTTTTTTTTGTTTTTTTTTTTTTTTTGGTTTTTTTGATTTTTTTGAGGGGCTTGAGGCGGTTGTAGGCAAGAAATTACGACTTTCCCACGGCCCCGCACTCTGACGCCGTGCAGTCGGAGGGACCATGACAGGACATGGGGACCATGACACAGTGCGACAGCTGGGGGGCCTGATTGTCTCATACACCCTCAGCTGTGTTTGAGCGCTAAACATTGTGTCTTTAAAGGCGCCTAATCAAGCTGCAATATACCAGACCCGGACGCTCCTGCACCCCGCCAGCCCACAAAGACAAGCGATCTGATGCTCGTATCGCTTCATTTGCGAAGTAAAATATGAAGCGAAGGGACATGCATGCACCCGCATCTGCCGTAGCGGTAATTGGCACGATGCCAACACGGAACTTGTCCGAAATTTCATTCTGAGACGTGCAGAACAGAGGCTTTTCCTCAGGTTTTTCAACGTTTCACTTCGCACTTCTACCACTTTCCAACTATTTAGCACCCCTGCTACCATTTTGGACACAGAACCAAATTATCGTGCCAACTGCCTTCATTGCGATGGTGCTAAGTATGTTGAGTCAACTAGCCAGGAGTTGCGCGCCAATTCCTGTGTATAAGCCCAATGTGGATCTCCTGGCCCTCGACCACAATGACTCAGATTCGCGGCAAATCATTATCAATTACACGCGAAATTCTCGAGATGTGGATAGGCGTGGCTGCGTACTTCAACTAACGTGGCGGTGGCTGTGCTTTTGGAGAGATATTTTCATTTTGACACAATTGTGGTCGTGTCTCTGTCCAACAAAGAACAAGATGACAGTTGTCTCAGATTGAAATATCCCACGAGTAACCAGTTCTGTGCCATGTTCGAATGCCACGCCTACACCGTTTCAGGGATAAATAGAATATCGCAAAAAGGGACCTCTGTAGCCTATCAAGTTGCAAATACCGACCCTGACGCTCACAAATGTCCGACCGATCCTGATACTCGTATCGCTTGGGAGACGGGCAAGAGAATCGTAATTTGTCGCTCCGCCGCGCGCGGCGATGGGCGCGGTGTTTTCTTAACTCGTGTTAACCTGTCTGGAGCACCGGACTTCATGTAGACCCGTCATCGTAGACATGACTATTTTCGGTTCTGAATTGCCTGTTGTCGCCATCTACGACCTGAACCATCGTCATTTGTGGGCGCGACGTCGCACGCGACGCCCATCAGCGCGGCGAATTACGATTCTCTTCGTCACATACCCGTATCGCTTCTTTTGCGAAGTAAATATGAAGCGAAGGGATTGATATGAAGCGGCTGCGGTGCTGCATGGATATATGAGTACATACATGCAGCCGTATCTACCGTAGCGGTTATTGGCACGATGCCAACGGGGAACTCGTGCGAAACTGCTGAGTCGGTAGAAAGAAGGCTTGTTTTTGCAGGTTTTTGACCGTTTCATTCCGCCATTTTCCCACTATCTAGCACAACTGCGACCATTTTAGACAGACTACCAAATACCATGCCAACTGCTTATTGCAGCACCAGCGATGCAATTGCATTGATGTTGCAGAAACTCGTCGCCCAGTGTTTACCGCAATCCTACTTTTAGAAACAGAGTTCCCGAGAGCTACTTTCTCACACAAGTTCCGGCCCATTGTTTCTCCTATGGCAATACGTTCTGGACGGAGTTGAACAGATGCCTTAAAGGCACTTTCCGCGATAAAATAAGGCTATGACCTTTCAAATGTGTCAGACGATCCGGAAGGAGATTGCGGAGGCTGCGCTACCTTTAGAAAGTGAAAATCGGCAAGAATTCCGCTTTAAGCTAACCAATTAGGCCCATGGGCGCCCCTTAGGCCCATGCCGACCCCCACCGGCTGCTAGCTACTAGCTAGTAGCCACTATGCTATCTCTCTCCATTCCGAATGGTGAGAGTGAGGTGATACGATAAAAGAGCTGATATCTTTATGATAACGACGAGTGGAAATTCGTACAAACATGCGTTTTCTTCATTGCATGCATGTACAAGTTGAAGTCGATATGGAATCCTATTTAGGGCATTTTCGGCTGTTTTTCTGCTGCTTTCCTCCGCTAATCAGATACCCAGCCCTTTTTCGTTCCTATGCGGGTTCCGTTACCCACAACTATGGGTCGCGGGCTTTGCCTTTAAGCCGTTTCAAATTTACGGCAAGCCCCAAAGAACTGTACACGAGGCTTTGCGGCTGTCTAGGGACGAGATTTTTGTTTCAGTTTTCCTCATAATTTCTTTTGCTTTTTTTGCTTTCACTCGGGGACTCACTTATCGGCCTACTGGGTATAAAAGAAACATCACTAATCATAATACATTATCTGAGTAAGTTCTGGAAGCACTACAGACTGAGCACACAGTTTCCTTTAAAGGCAGCGTCCGCGTTCAGTTGAGATTTTCCTCTCCCTTCGTGAGCAGGTAGTCAGGTCCGCTGAGGCAACAACTACACCACTTTCGCGGCGCAAAAACGCGTGAGGAGAGCCACGATGCCGTCGTTCTTATCATTGACCCAACCTACAATCATTGGCACCGCCCACCATTCATTTCTAATGGTTACCTGATGGTGCGGTTGTTTCGCTGCTGCTTCTCTCCACGTCGAGTGGTGAGAGTGAGGTGATAAGGGAAAACAGCTGATATCAACAAGTGAGAACTCGTGCGACCGCACCTTCTCTTCGCCTTGAGCACGTACAACCTCAATTAAGCAAGGGGTTCTATATAGAGCCTTTCCTATGATTTCTTTCTGATTTTTCTTTACTGAGGGGTTACTTGCTACCTTGTTATAAGTATTTGAGCCGCATAACTCATCAAATTTGAATGCGGGCTCAGCCTTTAAATCAGTCCCCAAGCTCGAGCAATTCGTGGGGCGTCTTTCCTTGTTTGGATAGTCTAGTCCTCAGTCTTTGGGACTGTCCCACAGCTGCCTCACAGTAATGAAGCCGCTACGACCCTCGTAAGTGGCAGTCTCTGACGCCCACTTAGTTGTCCCGTCCACCAAAACCCAATGGCTGCTTTCCGCCACAATTTTAGTTCTTACAGTTTTTTTGTTCTTTGGATCAGCCTTGGATTACACTAAGAAACGATTAGCGAGAGCCAGATGATGGCTTGAACAACTCATACGGTGGCTGCCAGGGAATCCTTACTAAGCGTGCTCTTTTTTTTGTTGCTTTCTTCTTTTCTTCAAAGTCACTTAGCGACCATAGGTTCGTTATTGAACGCCACTATCTACAATACGTAATTGCGAGGTTTGCCTGATCTGTCAAACTCCTGCGCTCGATGCATACCTGACAAATGCCTCTTGCAGACTCGTTGGAACCCGGTACAGCCCTGTTAGAACTGCAACCATTAGCAATTTTAGAACCGCCCACGTGTCAGCAGAGAAGCCCTAATATCACAGCCACTTCCTTTTCGTGAGTGTGCAACCTAGTCAGATGCTCGAAATGTTACAAACGCATGCGAGGAGGAATAGCCCGTCAACATTAAATAAACCTACAAAACTACAAAACATTCATCTCACAAGGGAGTGAGGTATATCATTCATTTTTTAGAACTCTATACAAATACAACTCTACCAATATACTAAAACCATCTTTGCATAGGCAATGAAAAACAGAAAAAAGAATGCAAAAAGACTCGTACAAAATTAGACTGTCTACTTCGGGGCTAGAACCTGCTTCATTCTGTTCAAGGCAGATCCTGCTTTGAACCATTCTATTTGTTGTTCGTTGAAAGTGTGATTGAGTGAAATCTCAACCTATAAAGGAGTAATTACTTTGTGATGGGCTAATATCTGGAGAATGGGAGCAGGTGGCTTCTCACAGCAACCTTGGAACGTTTGCTTTTTGATTATGGCGCTCAGCGGTTTGCCAGGTGCAAAGTCCTTCAGACCAACGATCGACACCTTATCACCAGAGTCAATCTTGTCATAGTCAGCAGGATTTGCGAATGTCAATGGGAGCATTCCTTGTTTCTTCAAATTCGTCTCTACAAAACCACATATTATAACTCTGACGTTATAGGAAATATTAGGTTGTCCGGAAAGTTCTTAGCGTTTTGTGCACCTAATCTTTGTACATTCACTGCTGATTAAAAACTCATTCTGCCTTGCTTCTCAGTAGCACATCCTGTAGAGAATTTCTTGCGCTATCTGATGGTATAATTGCCGTTTCACCATTGCTTGATAAACCCTTTTTCAAGATTTTTTCAAGCATGTGAAAAGAGCACTTCGGACGATTTTTTTCTTCGGCTATAAATTGGGGCAATCCGCAATCGAAACAGCTCAACAAATTAACCAGGTGTGGAGGCCCAATAGTGCTAGAGAAAGCACTGTGCCGCAATGGCTCAACAAATGTCGTTCTGGAAATTTCAGCCTTGAAGGTGAGCCTCATAGCGGTCGACCTAAAGCAATATCTGACGAGGATTTTAGGGGGATTTTGAAGGTTGACCCATCCCAAACAGTTCGAGAGATAGCAGAAGAGCTAGGCCTTGGCAAATCCACTGTTGCAGATGGTCTGGAACGCATTGGGAAGGTGAAAAAACTCGACAATTGGGTGCCCCACAATCGGAGTGACCGGCAGGAATCGGCACGTCTCGAGGTTCCTTCTTCACTGCTTTTGCGCAAAAGAATTGACCCGTTTTTGAACGGATTTGTCACCTGTGATGAAAAATGGATCATGTATGATAACAGGAGACGTTCCGGACAGTGGTTGGATTTGGAGGAACCACCGAGGTAATTTTCAAAGCCGAACCCTCGCGAAAAAAAAATTCTGGTCAGGTTTGGTGGTCATCGGCTGTTGTAATCCACTATAACTTTTCATCACCAGGCCAAACCATCACAGCAGAACCCTACTGTGAACAAACCGACCAAATGTACCGAAAATATTGTCAGCTGCAGCCAACACTTATCAAAAGAAAGGGTCCGATTCTTTTGCATGACAACGCCCGCCCACACGTTTCACAAATCACTATCCATAAATTGAACGAATTGGGAGTTGAAGTTCTACCTCACCCACCATATTCTCTAGACCTTTCACCAACCGACTGTCACCTTTTCAGACATTTTCAGAACTTTCCTGCTGAGAAATACTTCATCAAACAGGACCAGGCAAAAAGACCTTCGCAGATTTCGTGGATTCTCGACCACCCAGTTTTTTCTTTGATGGGATTTCTCGACTGCTGCCACATTGGCAAAAGTGTGCTGATTCGAATGGTGCTTATTTGGATTAAATCCGATGAGTGTTAAGAAAGTTATGATCGTTTAAAGTTAAACACCCAAAACGCTAAGAACTTTCCGGACAACCTAATAGTCATTGAAATAGTACCGTGGATTCTAGCAAAGGATTTCGTGATAATAGCTCTTCCTCCTAGATGCCGCGGTTCAAGAGCAGCATGTTCACGACTTGATCCTTCACGCGTTAGTTCTCATTCTCCAATCGCTACCCAACTCGCTCCATGTGCCTTGTAATAGCGAGCAGTTTCCGGGACGGTGCCAAATGAATCCGTAAGATGATTGCGGACCTAAGCAACAAAAGCTCGAAGAAGTTTAAAACAAGAAATTGATTCGAAGACAATTCCCGCGATCAAGTGTAACGGGTAGTAGGTGCACAATCATCTATGAGCCAGCAGCCCATAAGTAACTCTCCAGTAGAGAAATAGTGAAAAAAAACCCTGGGAACACTCTTGATTGATCCCCCTAGCAGTGAACATCTTGGACGACTTTGTCGGACGACAAACAAGCCCAGTCATTATGATTCGACGGGCAACCGATTCTCGGCAAGAGCACAAGATATCACCCTACGACGCTCCAGGTAACTTGTGTACACACGCAATTCCGCTCGTAAGCCGTCGTCTCGCCGAGTGAAAGTAATTGCAGTGCAATGGTGCTCACTACCTAACACGCGTCCTCAGCTTCTTCATCTTGCCGTTCCGAATGTTACTAATTATATCCTCTGCGAATACGGACAACGATGCCAAATGAACGGAAGCATTCCGCGGACCACTTGATCGCGGGAGATGTCTTTAAGGGGCTTCAGAAACTGAAAGTTTCACCTTGTTCATTTCTCCATTTTCGGATATCGTTCACGCGCTGTAGAATAAGTTGTTGGAAATGTTATCAAGGTGACCTCGGTATTTCAGCCATGGTCCAGCAGCCGAAATGTGGTCAGTCGTGCATTTTCCTTTAACTTTGATGAGAATAATCATGTCCTCCAAATCTTTGCCGTCCCACTTGTCAAATGGTTGGAGGAGTTGTAAACGCTCTGATTTGGGATCGACAACAACCTGGAAAATTGAAATTATTTGAAAAGAAATTTGAAGAACAGGGATTTTATACACCTCTCCGGACTGTGATGGCTGTTGGTAGGTATCCACGCCAGGATCGTACCCTTTCTGAGGGAGATCATCTCCCGATGGAGCCTTCAGCACGAATTTCGAGCCTGAACATGACACAGTACCTTCAGAGTGAATGCTCGAGAATTAAAGCAAAGTCAAGCTCACAGACTCACCATCCGCCGCAGTAATCTGGTCTTTTCGAGGATCAAAATCGAGCCGACCAGTAATGGCGAGTGCAGTCACAATGTCGGGAGAAGTAACGAAGCCATGTGTAGCAGGATTTGCGTCGTTTCTTCCGGTAAAATTTCGGTTGTAAGAAGTGACAATGGTGTTCTTCTCACCCTTCTTCACATCTTGGCGATCCCACTGTCCTATAAATATTTGGCGTACTAACGATGGAATTCTGCTGCTATAAAAGAAAGCCGCTCAAATAAGTATGCCGCAGTTACTTCAACAAGTATATTTTTGATTTTTTACGAAAATTTTCACCTACTTACAAACTGCTGCATGAATTCTATAGGCAGTTGGCAGGATAATTTGGAACTTTGTCTGAAATGGTAGCTGGGGTCCTGAATAGTTGGAAAGTGACGGAAAAGCTTTGAGAAACCGTCAACCGACTGACGAAAAAAGCACATTGCCTTCAAACGTTTTTGTAGAGCAATTTTAGACGAGTTCCACGGTTGTGCTCGTGCCAATAACCGCTCGGTAGGTACGGGCCTGCCACGTACGTACCTCAATAATATGATCATTGCAGCATCACGAGCCCGCTTCATATCAATCCTTGGCCTCTGAATGCTACTTGCAAATATGAAGCGATAGGACATTATACGGTTTCGGAACATTGTGGCGGCGAGGCGCTATTCGGAGAGGAAGTCAGTGTAAATATTAACAAATATGTAATAACAAAGTTTGGCTCCCGTACAAAAGAGAAAGCAGCTTCACAGCATCTGTCCATGAAATTATTAACAAATATGTATAAAACAATTTGGCTCTGTACAAGAGAAAGCGCTTCACAGCATTTGTCATGTAAATTATTAACAAATATGTATAAAACAAATTTGGATCTGCTAACAACAGGAAAGCGCTTCACAGGCCATTTGCGGTTGGCGCCGAGTTTCAGGTCCATCTCATGCCGCATTATTCCTACACCGTTTTGGAGATTTACTCGTGCCAACTGCCCACAATGACTTTTGAGAGGCCCCGAGTTCTCATAACATTCACATTTCTTTGTCGATGGTCATCTCGTGTTTATCAGCAAATCAATCGATTAGAAGAGAAAATAAACAAACACAGATCATATGGCGAACGACATAGTTGTTTTCATAAACAGACAGCTGTATATTTAACCTAGTGATGATAATAAACGTGAATGAAGTAGATGACTCATCAACAGCTGCTTGTGACCCACAAAAAACGTGGGGGTGTGAATATGTATCACTTCAAACGTTTGAGACAATGTTCTGTGCCAAACACTTTTTGAAAAGATTAATGCGCCAACATTTTAGAGCTTGACCGTTTTCCATTCTATGGCAGCAACTGACCTTCTAGTACTGTTGAAATAAAGTCGACTGGTGCCTTGAGTACACAGTGAACGCGGGGCTTCTAATGGGTCGGCGGAAGATCATGAAATTGTACCCGCGCTTTTTCCAGAACACGATGAATAAATTCTTGAGCATCAAAAACCCATCGATGCTTGCTTATAGTTCGTTTGGGAAAAGCGCTTGAGCACTTCCCTGCCCAGGGCACAACATTAGTTGGAAATTTTGGTCGAGTCCTTACGACCCCTCCCCCAAGGTGGCTTGGTACAATCACCCTCCTACCGATCCTATCCAGCTGTTGAGCGGGAGTATATGACACAAGTGAAACAGGAAAAACCGCGAGGATAATACGAGAACTTTCCCAGACTAACAATAGACTCCCCCTCTGCCCCTCAGCGACCAAATACGAATCTCCTGTTGGAGATCCCCAACGATGATGTGCCCTGTTCCCGCCAACTTGTGTTATTCCCTCATCCATTGTTCCTGAAGTCCTTGTAAAAATTGATTGCGATAGAGTTTTTTTTTTTTCTAGGGGTGAAAAGAGTAGCGTAACAGAAACTGGAAGGTTAGACAAAAAGCAACTTAAAAACTACAAAGATTTGTTTTGGTTTTACGCAACGGCACACTTCCACTACGGTGACAAGACCGAGACTTTTCATAGAAGCCGTTATCGCTGTGGACAGTATGGAGAAAGGGGAAAAAAGTATCAGCAACGTGTTGTACGTCGATATGGCAATAGCGAAAATAACACTGGACATTGTTCCAAACGCCGTTTTTTAATGTCAATGACAGCGCCTCCGACAATGACAGTGACTTTGGCAGGTTTTAGGGGTCAGATTTGTTAAAACAGGTGGCAAGTGAAGCGTTAACAAAAAAAAATAAGGGCTGCAAGAACATGGAACAGACTCTATACGATTTAAGGCATCTGACGAGTTCGTCAGATTTTGGTTGAGTTGGTTGTCCAAAACACGTCGCCGCCTCGTTGCGGCTAATTCTCATGAGGCCTCTACCTAGGTTATCTTACCTATTCTAATCAATCCTTGCTGGCACTGATAATCGATCTGTCTATGAGTTAATCTCTCTATCAGTGTACGAAACGAACGCTAGAAATTTAGCGATTATCAAAGCCAGCGAGGACTGTGTGAACGAACGGTGAACCAATTCAAGGCGGGATTAACACGACAGCGGGCGTCAGCTTATCATGGTTGATTTCGAGTCCCAGGAGTGGGGTACATTCTATGGTTGCAGACTCCGCGTCCTTGTACAGCACAGGGTTTTCTCCACCTCGGTTGGTCGCAGACGCTGCCTTTAAATAGGGAAGAGCTGATTATTTCAGGCCTCTTATTCAGACTGGAGTTTAACATGTCGCGAGCCCCCGGGACTGATCCAATTTCCGGAGATTATATAGTTAAATTTATTAGAACAAATACATCCAAAGCAGCACAGTTGGGTATCAAGCAAAGCGTTTAATCAACGCATAACTGTTAAGTGAAGACTAACCGAATGACAAGTCACAAGCATTGAGCCAAAGAAACCATATCCTCCAGAAAGTCCTCTGAAGATCTCTGAGATGCCATCCCTTTCTATAGTGGCACGAACCTGTTCTGATCCAGGTGTGATGGTGAACAGTGTTTTAGCCTTCAATCCCTTATCGCAGTTGCCCTTGAAAAACTCTTACTGCCAATTCACCGCAGCTTCACCAATAAGTAAAACAGGGTCAATGAACTAAGGAGGAAAGAACGCGAACATGATCGAGAGCTCTTGAACCTAAGGGACAAGAAGGGAACTAGCGTAATACCCTCGTCATCCGGGCAGTTGATTAGGGCGGTCGTCAACGGGCCGCAGCGCGTGCCAGGAACTATTTGCTTTTTCCAGGCTAATTTAGTCATTTTTTCCAACTTTTCACTGTTTTGGCTACTTTTTCCCAGATTAGCAGCTCCTTATCTTCACAAGGTGGAAAAAAATGACTAAATTAGCCTGGAAAAGCAAACAGTTCCTGGCACGCGCTGCGACCCTGGGACACCGCCCTAATCAATGCCCGGATGACGAGTCCGTTAGATTACTACAGGTAACATTTAATGTGTGCAACTGAAGTATTTCAAAAACACGATGGTTCGTTTTGCTACTCCATAAGAACCACGGTTACTTTGTCAACCCTGGAACTCAAGACATAGAACACAAGTGAACTCTACTTCTCGGGGTAGTTCGGCGGCAGGGGAGCATTTTGCACTTTTGCTACTCCCCACTCCCAAGTAGAGAGCCCTCCCTTGGGCTGACAGGTTTTTCTATGGTAGCTCGACGAACTTGCTCCAACTTCACAGGGAGTCACGAGTTTCACCAGAGAGTGAGGCTTGTAAGGCGGAAGCTGTGAGGCAATGAAAGTGCAAAATGCCCCCACTCCCTCGGCGCCGAACTGCGCCCCACTTCTCTACGCTGGAAAAGTGGCGTACCAGGAGATGATTATGCCAGCGGCAGCAATCTCAAATCTCCTGACATGCCCCTTAAATCGCAGCGAATTAGACTATAAATGGCCCACAAAACACAAATTATGAAACTAGTTAACCCCTTCTGTAAGCCAGTTGTAACAAAATACTGCTAGTAGTTGTATGAGCACTGGGAAATTGATCAGCGTGAGTCGACTACATCCTAAATAATTCAAAACCCCGTGGAAAAGACATCGCTTATCCTTTCAACTACTACAGACATGCGCCAAAAATCAAGAAAATTCTGTAAGTTCGGTCCTGTTCAGTATGACTGAACTGACTTGGTTAACTACCACTTACGAAAAAAGAAAACTTCTGAAACTAGTGAGTGCGCTCACTTAATACCGAGTGCATTGCCCTTATCTTCTTTTCCGCGAAATTCCTTCTCCTTCGAATCCACTTCTTTTTGCATTGGAGAGTTACCCTTCAACTTGATTTTGTAAGGGAAAACGCGGCATTAATGAGTAGGATTGGGAATGATAATAACCTTAAGCAGTCATACAACAGAGAAAGGAAAGGTCTAGCCTAACAGAAACTGGAGCCTCTCGAAGTATTTGAAAATCAGATGATATATTTAGTAATCTAGCAATAATATTATAAAATAAATTACCTGTTTAGCGATGGATGCAGCTCGAGTCATGTCTTCGTACGACGAGTTGGTGCAGGAACCGATTAGAGCAACTTTGATGTCAAGAGGCCATCCATTTTTCTTCGCATTATCACCAAGCTTATCTATCGGTGAAGCGAGATCAGGTGTAAAGGGACCATTAACATGTGGAATCAGAGTGTCCAGATTGAGGTCAATAATCTGAACGTAAAGAGCGCATTAGGCAAAGTATAAGAGAAAATAGAAGGTTGGTTATTCGCACCTGATCATAGTGAGCTCCATCATCAGCGGTGAGAAGATGCTTGTACTTGTCAGCTTCTTGTGCGATTTCAGCACGACCAGTAGCCTGAACTGAAAACTATCAGCGCTACAAAGACCAGTGCAACCACGTCGTGCGCGAGTTGTCCCAACGAGGGTCGCATTTGGTCGCTGGAGATAAGAGGGTCGTCGGCCTGAGAGATTTCTTTTTTGGTTTGTTGGTTTCTCATGTTTCACGCGCACTTTCCACAACGTAGCCAGACACCTATTGGGGAGGGGAGGGGGCGTATCTGGCCTTAAGAAAATTTTTTCCGCGCGCGAGAAATTTTCCCTCCCATCACCCTTGAGCGGCAGGTAACAGCGAAGCCAAAAGTTTTTTCTGATTCTTTCTTCCGATGACTGAAATTAGTAGCTGTTTATAGCGACCCCCCCCCGCTTGAGGGCAAGGTTTTGGAGGAAAACAGCTGGAAAGTTTTTTGAAAAGTTGGACAAATTAGTGAGGAGTTGGGGAAAGTTATAGGGTGTGAGGTAAGATGGGGAAAAGGGGGTCGCATTCGGCAAAAACCTCAGCAGCGACACCAAACCTACACATGGCGAGACATAGCAGAGCACAAATCACCTAATTAATATGAAGAATGGACTCAGCTCACCACAAGATATTTCTTCATGCTATCGTTGTACGGGAAAACTGATGTAGTTGCACCAATTTCTGCACCCATATTGCAGATGGTTCCCATTCCGGTGGCCGAAATGGAGTCGACACCAGGACCAAAGTACTCCACAATGGCTCCGGTACCTCCCTTGACAGTCAGGATGTCGGCTACCTTAACGACAGATTTTCATTACGTCCAATCTAAGGGGTCACCTGGTTTCTCGACTACACTCACTTTGAGAATGACGTCCTTGGCCGAAGTCCATCCAGATAACTTGCCAGTCAACCGGATTCCGATAACCTTCGGGCATTTCAGTTCCCACGGTATATCGGCCATGACGTCTACAGCATCAGCGCCTCCAACTCCGATACAGAGACCACCAAGGCCACCTGTTTATAGCCATGTTACTAGGAAACACCGAGTAATTTTAGTGTAGTGCACCTCCATTGGGAGTGTGAGAGTCGGTTCCAATAAGCAGCAGTCCAGGGAAAGCATAGTTTTCCAGGAGGATCTGGTGGATGATTCCGGATCCTGGCTTCCAGAACCCGACGCCGTACTTGTTTCCTGCCGATTCCAAAAACTTGTATACTTCCTTGTTGAGATCCTATTACGAAACTCGATTAACCACATAGTAAGTTCTTTAGTTTTTCAGGACCTAAAGGGTGTCCTCTCAAGGCAGAAAACTTAGCTAGTGCTGAAACAAGTCACATTTACCTTTGCTCTCGCCAAATCGGCTTCTCCTCCCACTTGCGCTTGAATCAAGTGGTCGCAGTGAATTGTGGACGGAACAGCAACCTAAAAATGAAATACGTCCTTTATAGGATCATTGAAGCAGTACTACGGGAACAATGGAATTTTGAAGCTGACTCGAAGAACTTATACTTACTGTTGGCAATCCTGATGAGATAAACTGCAGCATTGCCATCTGTGCTGTTGCATCTTGCATTGCCACACGATCCGGTCGTAGCCGCAAATAGGAGACTCCACGCTCAATGTGTTCTTTATCTGGCTGATCCAAATGGCCATAGAGAATCTTCTCAGATAGGGTTAGTGGCCGCTTCAGGCTGAAAATGGCCACTTGTCACTATTGGTGGAAGGAATGATAGTACGGCGCTAACAAAGTAATTTACTAGAAGACAGTACACGGTGGTCGTCTTTTCGTCGTCATGACGTCATTCTGTCTCTCGTACTGACATTTCCCTCCTCTTCACCATACAATAGAGGGTCGTGTCTAAGGATGACAAAATGGTTTCCCGACTCCACCCACATCACGAAAATGGAATATGCTTTCAGGACGCAAGCGCTTCCGGATTCCTGCCCTCCTCCCTTCATGACTGCAGCTACGATGCTGATACTGGTAGATGCAATAACGGTGGGTTGCGACTTGACCTTATGTGGTACATCTTAAATATCTCACTTAATGAGCGACAAACCGCCTTCAGCAAAGAAGCCGTCGCAATATTTCTCTACGTCATATTGGTGTGAATGAAATGAGCCCTCTCGGTAATAACAGTATTACTATTATGTTGGCTCTCGGTTAATAACAGTATTACTATTATGTTGGCGGGAAAGTTCTGTCACATTTTTTCAAATTAGACTTTCTTTTTACAGAGGCGTACAAGATCAAAATTATACAGCAATGTTATTGAGAGATCCTTGCCAGTTTTTGGACAGTTTCATGCCATCGCTTAACAATGCACGCCGGCGCGACGCAAAGTTGGACATCATCTCAACTTTGACGTGGGCTCGAGTCGTGGAGGTTTTCTCCGCTGTATGACGGTTGACCCCACAACATGCAGCCTCAAAGTGGCGTGGGGGTGAACGGTTTGGACTGTTCCAACACCGTACCAATGCGGAGGGTGCCACGTCAGAGCCTGGCGAGCTACGCGTGGTTAAATTTCTTCTCGCCGAAAACAGTAATAATTATGGGCCTCATTCCCCTGAACCTGAGGGAACCACCGACAGGGCGACGTCGGCTGGGACCGCTCGGCGAGGCTGCAAGAATCACAGGGCCAACGGAGATTTCAAGTCGCCCAGGACTAGGATGACGATCTGTACTTTCACTCCTGGTGGACAATTCCATAACGAGATCGACCACATCATCTTCAATCGAAGGTTTTGCCTGACCGATGTCGCTGTTGTTCCCAAGTTCTACACAGGATCCGACCACCGTCTCCTTCGCGCGAGATTCCGCTTTTCGATGCGAGGAGAGAGAGAGAGCCGCAAAGTTCAAGAAGCGAAGCCCCAAGACCGTCATCAACTGGGATCACTTCACTTCTCTCGCTGGGCTCTTGGGAAGACTCGTCATCGACAACATCGACGAGGAGGTACAACGGACTTGTCGCACACCCCCCTCTTCACGACATGCGCCAAAGAAGTCAGAGGGTTCCAAGATTACCAAGAAGCGTCTATCTCTGGAAACTCTCGAGCTGATTCGCCAACGTGGAGCCGCACGAGCCGCAGGCAATTACCAGGCTGTAGTCTGAGCTTCGAAGCTATGAAGAGAAGGGAAGCCTCAAGGAGAGAAGAGCAGCAGTACTGGTGGAAGCCGCAGAGGCTGGGAAGAGCGTACGCAACGCCCGCCGCGACTTCGCCAACTGTAAGACTAAGATGACCGCCCTCCGACGTCCGGATGGAACAATCACCGCATCCAGAAGGGCAATGGAGAAGGTCATCCACGACTTCTACTCGGATCTCTTTGACAGCCACGTCCACCTGCAACCATACCGCTTGGAGCAGGATGGATATGTCGTTCCTGCAGTTCTCTCTTCCGAAGTCCGACACGCCATCTCGTCGGTAAAGAATCGTACGGCACCCGGTCCCGACAGGATCAGACCCGAACATCTGAAGAATCTTCCGCCAGTTCTTGTCAAAACTCTGGCTCGACTCTTCACGCGCTACCTGTCGGAATGCAAGGTACCCACCTCGTGGAAAACCAGCAAGACTGTGTTGCTGTACAAGAAGGGAGACCTGTACGACATTGGCAATTATCGCCCAATCTGCCTGCTGTCTGTAGTCTACAAACTCTTCACACGAGTCATCCTGAAACACTGACTGCAGAACGATAGACGAAGGACAGCCATGAGAGCAAGCAGGGTTTCGAAGTGGATTCAGCACGATCGATCACATCCACACGGTAACGAAGCTCATCGAAGTATCGCGAGAGAATGCCGCTATGTCTCACGTTCATCGACTTGAAGAAGCCTTCGACTCCGTTGAGACAGAAGCGGTTATCGAAGCCCTGGGCAACCAGGGTATTCCTACTCAGTACATCAGGATTCTTCGTGAGCTCTACAGCAACTTCACGACCAAGATTTCACCATTCTACAAGGAGATCATCATTGATGTGAAGAGAGGGGTCCGACAGGGCGACACCATCTCGCCCAAGCTCTTCAGCGCCTCTCTCGAGAACGTCATGCGTCAACTGGAATGGGAAGACATGGGAGTGAAGATCGACGGTCGGCAACTACACCATCTCCGCTTTGCTGACGACGTTTTGATAACACCAAACATCGAGCAAGCGGAACGAATGCTGGCTGAATTCGACTGCGCGTGTGGAAGAATCGGTCTACGGCTGAAGACGATGTTCATGAGAAACGGATTGGTATCTGATGCCCCATTCACGCTCAACGGAACGACCATCTCTGAATGCTCTAGCTATGTGTACCTAGGTCGTGAAATCAATATGATGAATGACTAGCTCCAGAGCTGAGCAGGAGGAAGCGAGCGGCTTGGGGAGCCTTCAAGAACATCGAGGGAGTAGCGAAGAAGACGAAGAACACCAAGCTCCGTGCCCACCTCTTCGATTCCGCGGTCCTTCCTGCCTTGACGTACGCAGAGACTTGGACTCTACGAAAGCAGGATGAGCATGCGGTCGGCGTGAGAGAGGGCGCGTCCGGAGCTCTCGCACTGCGCCGCGATCGTAAGAATCAGAGACGGCACTGCTCTTTCCAAGGACCGCTGACCAGAGCGACTCAGCCGATTGGATCCACGGGATGTCAAAACGCGAAACAAACGACGACCCGCTCTATCCTAGTGGTCAGACTTCTCCTGAAAGCTCTGAAACGATGTATGAAGTTATCGTGTCCCTCGAGCAGAGAGAGTTCATTGGGCAACTCTTGCACGTTGCAGGGACGAATGGAGACGTTACTGGCGCCCGCTCGAGGAACTCGATGATCAACGGGAGCACAGGTGATACAGGTGATAACGGTTGAATACGGGAGGCGACTAGCAGTCAGAAAGAGCAATGTCTGGACTACACCGGTGCAAGGGGAGAGCCATCCAGCTCTATTGCATGAAGTACGGCTCGAACTTTTTTGACGGGGTGTGCTGCACCAGCACGTTGAAGACGGACTGTGCCGATGGATTTTGCCCTCTGCTTGACGATTCGCTTCTCGTAGCTGCCTTGCGTACGGATTGACCGAGGAGGCAGCTTCTTCATCCAGTAGTTTCCCGACCCACCGCTATCTAGAGCTGAGTTTACAGGTACTCCCGTCAAACCGTAGGCTCCCGCTCTGAAGAGCTAGCGTCGTGGAAGATTGTCTGATGACTGTAGACATTGTCCTTGTGCAGCTCCATTATTTCGGCGTCGACAGCTGCCATGCTGGCGCCAGGGTGGTAGAAGAAATAGTTTAAGGAAGCGCTTGAAGGGGTCGGTGCTGAAGGTAGCGGATAACATTCTTGTCCATAATGCAGAATAAGGATGAGCAGGAGCCGAGCCAGTGACACTAATAGAAAGATCAATCCTTAATGTATAAATGCTCACATTACCGGTTAGCCTCTTCAGGTAATAGGCGAATACTTGGGTTCAAAAAAGTATGACAGAACTTTCCCGCCAACCTAATACAAGGAATACAAATGCTTTCTCAAACGATTTATGTGCACAGATTCTCCTTCTTCTCTCAGGCGTCAGTGAGTTCTCTCTGATACTCTACGCAACCGGTCCCCACAAATCCTATCAACTTGCCCCCCCCTCTTCGATTACGCGGTCCTTCAGGCTTTACCTTTCCTCAGAGACTTGGACTCTACGAAAGCGGAATGCAGGATGACCATGCGGTTGGCGTCATTAAGCGTGTCATCGTAAGAGCGAGCTCGCAGTTCCTTGCAACACGCAAAGGAAAGAGGGAACTGGTTCTCTCCACTCCGTTGATGATCGAAGATTCGGGAGGCAGCCACATTTGTCAAGGTTTGGAAGATCAGGTGGGCAGGGCACGTCATGCGCTCCGAACATCAGACGGCACGTCATGCGCTTGGAAGATAACCGCTGGACCAGAGCATTGCGACTGGACTACACGGGATGTCAAACAAACACCTGGACGACCACGCGAACGATGGTCACACTTCTCCGTGGGAGCTCTGAACAATGGCTAAAGTGATACTGGTGTTACGCAAATGGCTACGTTTGTCAGATTCTGCCACCTGATCCAACTGGGGCATGATTCTCAAGGCTTGATTCAAAATATGAAACTTAAACTCAAATGCAAATTGAATTGATGAAGACTCTGTCTCGCTTTTTTTAAACTCTTCATGAACGCTGGTCCTAGGCTCCAAAGTCGGGGGCTTGTCCCATCAAAAGATTTCGATCCTCTTATCAGCACGTTTCTCAGTCGACTCTTGTACCCTCACTTGACAGGGGGCGTCTGCACGATTGCCCACTCCATCCAGTCGAGTACTTGCGAATATTTTCGTTTCACAATATGTGAGAATGCGGAAGGGTACGCTTCCTCTATCTAAGCTGCATTAAAAGGGTTTTTAACTACCCTCTGACGGCACCCCCAACTCTCACGGGAAATCGATGGGATTATTGGGTACAACATTCAACTGCAAAAGGGTATCATAAGTAGAAAAGAAGAAGAGGTGGTGAAAGCAAATCGTTTTCGCATTTCTCAGAGAAATGCGAAAACGATTATCTACTTTGCCTTTCGACAAGCTAGCTTATCACTGATTAGGAGATCAGTGGTTATTTCAAACCCTTTCCATCTGGGGTTGATAAGGCTATATGTGTGCATACTATGTAATGTTGCCAACGATTTGAGCAAATCGATAATGAAGACACCGTTTTATCACAGTGGGCCGTTTAGCAAACTACGCAAGTGGTTTCAACCAGAACTATCATTTGAACAAGCAAGCGCGATGGGATCGAACATCGCCTTTTCTCTCAGATCTCATATGATGTCTTCTCTCGAAGCGAATCTCTAAAGCAATACACTGTGCATCATTTAAAAAACAGCAGAATCGGAGAAACCGCGAAAAGGAAATTGATAGGGCGCACAGGAAAATCACGGAAATAGATGAGTGAACCGAATCAATACAAATCCGTTTTTTTTTCTCATGGATTCCCCCCACACATATGGACATTAAAAAGGCATTTTCTTCCAAGTACCGCTACAAGGTCAACCAGCCGATACCCCTTCTAAGCTTTGCCATAACTTCGATCCCTTCGGCATTTTCACAGTCTGCGACCCTGACGAAACGGCGGTTGGGCGAAAAGCAAAGAATTTGGATTGATCGGAGAATCGAAAACCGCTCGTTTCGCTGAACCGCCGTGGTTCGGGCGTTGAGGGAAAAGCAACAGATGCGTATCGAATTCTCTGGCGAAAAAACGCCAGGGCGATCGAGCTAGCGTTTCGTCGAAGGCGAAAAACGGTCGTCGCGGTTTGGCGAAACGCCCGTCGATTCGTATCAAAACCCTTTCGCCCAACCGCCAGACTCTTCGCCCAACCGCCAGTCGATACGTATCGAAAGCTTTTCGCCGAACCGCCGCGTTCCAGAGAAACGCTGGGCCGCAGACTGTGAACAATGCCTTCCCTGGAAAAGTTGGAAACGAAAAGTTTTATGATCGAGAATTTGGTTTCAGGATAGCCTTTTGCTCGCATGAAAGGCCTGAGAAATGACAATCCTGACTAATGGTGCGTGAGTGATAAGAGGTGGATCAATGGTACAGACTGCAGGTTATTGTTATTTGATTTCATAAATACTATGGACTGTTAACAAAATGACCAGGGGTACGAACAAAACTCAAAGTAGTTTCCGAGAGAGGGACCAGAGAAATTTTTAGTTTCCATTTCGTACGTGACCTCAAACGGAAAGTAAACAGAGCGCGATATCATTCCATTCTGCTCAAGGACGTCCAAAAAGCTTATTATCACAACACTACTGTAAGTATTGGTAGACACATGCGAGGGATATTGGAGTAAACGATGATCGGAAATGGAAATCCACAGTCTCAAGAGGCAAGGGCATTCCTTTTCTTGCAACGCTCTACAAAATTCAGGCCAAGTTTTGATTGAATTTTCTGTGGGCTAGGCAAGATTTTCGTCCCCGAGACTTGTTCTACCCTATATCAAATGGATGTACCACTGCATCACATTGATGGCGTCACAGTCAGGAATACAGCGCCCCAAAACCGGAAGCTGGCGTCGGTTCCACTACAAGTGAATGTGATGTACTAGTGTTCAGAGATCAGACGATCCCTAGGAACGATTTCTGAGCCGAATCTACCATCTGAGAGGATTTCCCGATCTGGTCTGTGTTCTGAAGAGGGAGCATTGAAGGGCAATCAAGGACAGAACAACTAGTGCAACTTCAATTAGCAAACCCGAGTTGCACTTTAGGTCATTAGATGCAAACAAGGCAAGAGCAGAGCAAAAAACACCCACCGATCTCTAACAATCTTGACGTTATGTGATAACTTCTCATATGGCAGATACTTATCCTTCTCGAACCTACTCATGGGCACGTTCGCCTAAAATGGTTCAAGATCTCTGAAGAGTAAGCACTTCCTCTAACCTGTAAGATACCTGCCATGATGCGGATATATGCAGGCATCGAAGGTGCATCGGCCCCGCAAGCCGACTTAAGCGCAGAACATGCATCTGCAATAATACTTAGCTGTTAAAGATTTCTTTTCATTCCAACCTTCAAGCAGGTAAGTCCCAAAATTCACAAGCAATCTCGTACAAAAACACAACATTTCAGGGCCATAATTACCAAAAATAAGCAAATAGTTCTTGCCAAAGAACCATGCAAATTCTTCTTCAAAAGAATTACGTGAAGCCTAATCGGGCCCACGACCCGGCAGTCGGCACTTTCAAGTGGGGTCTCTTCGTGACAGCCAGCTGGAACGTAGCTCTAGGAACTTACAAACACGACATTTAAAAGCCATCAAAGAGGTACTATAAATTACTGTGGGCTATATCTGGTACGCGCCATTTAAGGGTCACTAGTAGAGAGCGGCGGGCAACCACAATCACCCCCTATCAGTAGAGAGGACGATTGAACATCGGAACCAGCCACAAAAGTGGACCGCCCGTTCTCTGTTGAAGGGTGCGACTGCGACAAGCAAGCTGATGGTCCCAGAACGAAGGACGTCCACCGTATCAAGGTCGCCTCGTTTCCCGAGCTTTTCTATTCTTTCTAGGCTTTTCGCGTAAGGATGTTCGACGTGAAGACTCCTGCTGGACTTGCAGCTTTCAACGACGCTCTGCACACACAGGCTTTTGCTACAGGGTTTGTTTTGTTACACTTTTGAAGCCTCTAGAGTTCGTAAGTACAATTTGTACTATGAATTCTTAATATTTACTTTTTTTCAGTGTTTTTGTAAAGTTTTTTGAGAGCGGTTTGTGGAATACCAAGGATTTTCTTCCTTTCTTGGCTTGAATATTTCTGCTGCTTTATCGAATTAAGTATCTCAGGCCCTATCGAGAAATCTTTGAATAGCATTTGTCTCAGCACATGGCTAGTACTGAATTCAGGGTTTATTTAGGGAGAAGATGTTTTACTTAGTGAGAAGGGCAAGGACTTCGTACTTTGAGAGGCTAGAACGAGCCCACAGGACCTGCCTTTTTCCTCATTTGGTGAAAGGATGTCGGTATACTGACATGGGTATATGGACAGGGGTGATTGAGAAAATTTCGCGTGAAAGGTTTTACAAAGGCAAATTTAGTCCCCGACTTCCATTAGGGAAATCACCACCTGACTCTTACTAGCATGGGTCCTTTTAGCTGTTTTTTTGCTTAGAAGTGAGTAAAACAGTTAAGCTGAGAACAGAGAGCAGAAACCGGTCCATATGCCTGGAATGGAACTCTGCCGATCCGAGCTTTTTCGATTTCACAGTGACGAGAGGGCTTGCGACGAGTTCTCGCTTATAATATTATAACGAAATCAGCTCTATTCCCACATCCTTTCACCAGCCAAACCATGGACCGCCAAAAAAAGTAGGGCGGATAGCACCGCACTCTTGGGGTAGTCGTCAGAAATGAATCGAGGTGTGGTGTGGGGCGATGGGCGGGACCTGCCTTGTTCCGAAACGGTGGCCTCGTAATCACGTGTTGTGAGCCGCGTAAATGGTGACATGGCTTCTATATTTGCAAACAGGCTACCCTCTCGAAGAACATCTGCACATCAAATAGACGCGTGTCGTGCTTTGATTAGCCGAACATCTTTAGCAGCACATTCTTGCAAAAATTAATGGTTCGCTTCTTCTTCAAATCTAAACTTTGTTGTGTTTGAGTCTGTGTAAGTATGAGCGGCATATGAGAAGGGAGGGATAGCTCGCTGTTTTGAAAAAAAAAAAACGTGGCAGGTGTTTGAATTAGCGGGCCCTTCTAGCCCTTAATGAAACCTCAAGAAGCCTTCGGTTTCCAGTGAAGTTAAGTCAAAACATTAGGATTGATGAGCCATTGAAAGTTTTGGGTTGCATCGTAGCCCACTAAGAGTTATAGGGCTTGTAAAAGTCACGACGAATCCCTTGGGGATGCTGCTCCCTACTGCATTTTTCGGTAAAGTTCTTAAAAAAGTGTCTGGGTGCTTATTTGCGAAGAAGAAAAAGCAAGCTCATTGATAGAGAAAAAGTATGCAAACTGTCCGAGAACGCTAAGCAGGACTCCTCTGACTGGACTAGTTTTCAGAGTGGTACATTCTTTGGGACGCGGATTTGGCTAACAAATAGGATGGGTTTCTGTATAATAGGTAACTGCGGAAGATTGGTTAAGCTACATATACTCAGGGGTTATGTGCGCCTCAACTTTAACTGAGCTAAAAATGTAGTAGGAAAATGTGGGAGAAACGTGAGGTCCCTTATTGCCAATCTATCTCACTAGCTCCTTATGGTGCTGAATGCAGGATTCATATTTATTTATTTATTTATTTTATTTATTTATTTATTTATTTATTTAATAGCACTTAAGTGCACCATCGACAGCAAAAAAGAACATGAATATTAAGAACATACAACTCGAAGGCAAATCAGATCGCTGAAGGCAAACCAAACCGGTGGCAAATCAAACCGAAACAAAGGAAAAACATTAACCGACCGTTAGGCAAACTAAATGCGGAGGGAAGTAATTAAACGAGGGCGTACAAGCCAAGTAGAACATAGGCAATAAATCGATCGTATAAAAACCTCTTCCCCATACTACACCTCAGCTCTACATTAGGGTGAAATTGATGAGCCATGTGGACCTGCGTCAGAGGAAACATTATGCATTACTAACGGCTCGACGCATTAAAGGAGCGTAGGTTAACCTAGATTTCGCACTGAGGTTAAACTGACTGTAACACATTGGATGCCATGATGAAGTAATAAGTAAATATTTTATTTGTTATTTTATTACATTTAAGGAATGTGCCTTCTGCAAAGAAAAAAGTTTGAAGTGAATCATGGCTAAATTGAAGCACTATGCATAAGCATATGCACGTGCCACATATACCTCGTAAGTAGTGCGGTTTAGTCGCGGTTTTCGAAATAGTATAGGTTGGGTTGGCAGTAGGAAGAATACATTTCCAGTTATTTTTTTTTATTGGAACCTGATTTGTAAATGACTTCGGTATCAGTCAGTTCATCTATGCTGTAACTTTTCCTTCTTCATCGTTTTTATGTTCAGATTTGTTCACTCTGGTGAGGACAGTACGCTGTTCGAAGCCATCGGGTCGGCTCCATGCGCGAAAACCTACCCCAATGTAGCTCGTTGGTACAGAAATATCGCGAGTTACGATAAGAGTGAACGCAGCACTTGCCATCTGCGGGTTCTGCTGGTGGCGACGAAGAGAAGGAAGAGAAGGTATGAGCGCCAGTGGAAATCTGTGATTAATTTCTAAAAGTGGAGCTAGCTTCAGGAGGAGGACTTGGACCTGTTTGGATCGGACGACGAGGAAGATTTGAGAAAACAGAAAGTTGTGCAGGAACGACTGAAAGCCTACGCTGAGAAGAAGGCTGCGAAGCCCGGCCCCATTGCCAAGTCCTCTGTGATCCTGGATGTGAAACCCTGGGATGATGAGACACGGAGAGAGTGGATGGAAGAAATGGAGAAGTTGGTCCGTGGCATCGAGATGGATGGCCTCGTATGGGGAGGAGCTAAACTGCTTCCGATCGGATATGGTAAGCGTGTGTATGCCAAGCTATTTTAGAATTTCAGCTCATCCAACTTTTTCCGTTAAGTTTACTATTTTCTCTGATTTCAGGTATCAGAAAGCTTCAGATCATTTGTGTGATCGAAGATCTTAAAGTCTCAGTAGATGATTTGATCGAGAGGATTACTGGTGACTTTGAAGACCATGTCCAGTCTGTCGACATTGCTGCGTTTAATAAGATCTGATTCGTTACTCTGTGCTGACTGTTGCTCATGAACGTAAATAGATTTCTAGTTACCTTTGTGGCATATCTGTTCCTTTTTTCCTACTTCTGTCGTCTGTTGATCTCGTGAGAAACAAGTTGGGTCACTACATTAAGTCTTGAAGTCACAAAGGAAGAATGTTAGTCGGCTCATCAATAAGGAAAACAGCAGGCGAAGCTGTCGAAGGCTTCTCAAATAAGCACCAGGTCTTAGCAGTGTTGCAAGAAGTAAGACAGGGGGCGTAAACTTACTTGGAACAAAGGATGAGAATAGAAAGACCAGGACGCAATTGCGTTTCGGGTCCCACAACAGATACGAAACGAACGGCCGTGCAATTTTTGTACGCAGAAAATACTATAAAAAGGGCTGTAAATATTAAAAGAGAAAAAAAATGGCAGAAAATCCGGTCTCCCACAATGCCGCCAGTAGAAGTGCTGACAGCACTTGTGTGCATAAGGCGAATAGAGGGCGTGACAGGGCGAGTTCTAATTTGTTGACATCATTCCTTTCCCTCATCACCTAACTCTCACCATTCAGAGGCTCAGTACCAGAACAATCGCACTACCAGCAATCCTTCGGTCAGGTATTTTCAGGTTGCGAAAGTGGCACTTGCGAACAGGACTACGATGTCCAAGGATAGCCTGAATATAAACAAACGCAGACGCTTATACGGACATCAGTTTAAGAACGGGTGGCACGGCGTTGGTGGCGGTAGGCCGTACAGCAATCTCGCTCTGGCGCCGGTAGAAAGTGGTGAGGTCATGGGCTGCCAAAAAGGAGAAGCAGCTGGTGATGAGGTCTACAGTACTTGTGTGCAATGGCGGTGATAAACTTGATCAGACAAGACTGGGACGTGCAGTTGTGGACTGGCTATACAAGGACAACACCATGTGTCTTCTTAACTACAACTAACATCGAGTGGCATCGTTCCGCTCATGTGGCGGTGAGCCAGGTAAGCTGGTTTCTCACATTATCCTTTTTTTCCGTCATGTTTTTCTTCCTAGTTCTCGTAGGTCCGTCAAAACGCTAGGGTGTGCGAGACATGTTGTGGAGGAGAGTGTGCAACATCTTACCTTGAGCTGTGTTTAGGCCTGTGAGGACGACGATCTTGTCGAAACGTCAGGTCATTACAATAGTCTTCCACCTAACCCTAGTCTTCTTTGACATAATAAATTAAAAACTGCAGGTTTTATGCAGAGAGAAGCTGGACGCTATCATACAAGGAAATTTTCGTTATTGACAATTCAGTTCACTCAAATTGTTACAATAAGATTAACACTAAAGTCCACTTTGTTCGAAATCATTCTATACGATAGTTTTGATGCAGAGAAAAACGCAAGAAAAAGCTTGAAAATTAATCCAACCTCCTTATCAGTTCAGTGGAAACATTTCTCATTTCTGAAGCTGTTTTGTTATGATGGCCCTGGTGGTGTAACGGATAGCGCACTCGCCCGGAAAGCGTGAGGTGCGGGTTCGACTCCCGCCTGGGGCACGACTTTTGCCCACAACTCAGCATTCTTGTGATAACATTTCTCACTTTATCTCATTTTTCTCCACTGGAATCTTCTTCTTCTTCTTCTTCTTAGCGTTCTTGTCCAACTCGGGTACGCTTCTTTGACCAACGCTTTCCAACGGTCCCTGTAAATAGAATCGGCTGCGGACAGGCCAGCAGCGGTCATGTCCATATTCAGGTTGTCTTTCCACCGCATTCTAGGTCGGCCTTTTGGACGTTTACCGGTGAAGACGACCTTATCAGCGGACTTCGATACAGCATCAGGAGGTCTCCGTTGAACGTGACCATACCAGCGGAGACGAGCTGCGGCAAGGGAGTTGGCAAGGACCCTCATCCTGTCTCGGACTGTTTCGCTGCGGATTCGGTCGAGTGTGCTCAGACTCCATCGTAACATTCTCATCTCCATAACACCGTACGCTCTTGTTTCCTCGGCCGTCATCTGTTTAGTCTCGGCTCCATAGATGGCGACTGGCATCACGACTGATTCTTTGAAAAATTCAGGCGTATTTTGGTATTCTCCTATCACAGAGAACGCCACTAACAGATCTCCATTTGCTCCATGCAGCGTTGATTCTTGCAGTGGTGTCGGCCTTGGCATCTCCGTCGCGGCAGCGTAGATCCGAGATACGGAAACGTCGTTGCTCTGAAGAGTGGTGTTCCATCGACTACGATTGACGATGTTGTTGCGGTGGTGCACATATATTCCGTCTTGCTTATATTAAGCCTGAGTCCATGGCTGGCAAGCTCTCTCTTCCAGCGGTTGACGCGCCGTTCTAATTTCCCTTTGGATCTGTCCATCAGCAGTACATCGTCAGCATATCCCAGCGTCAAAGGCGGCTCTTTCCTGATGTTCCTCGTAGCGTAGTCCATACCTAGAATGAACAACAGCGAAAGAGCCGATCCGTGGTGAACACCGACAGCTACCCGACATTGTGGAGTGTCTCTGATAGGTGTCCGGATAGAGGTTGTGTAAGTTCAAGTAGGTCAGCTGGACTGCCTTAATGAGTGCTTCTGGAACTTGCTGATACCGAAGAGCTTCCCAAATGAGTTGATGCGGCACTCTGTCGAAGGCTTTTTCCAGATCCAGAAAAGCCAAATGAAGTGGCTTGTTCCATTCTCTAGCCTTTTCCATCAGACGGCCAACGTGGATGGCGTCTGTGGTCCGGTGTTCAGGTCGAAATCCGCACTGCATCCGACTGAAGTTGACTATTTCCCTAAGCCTGGCGTCCAGCACACGTTCAAAAACTTTTCAAGTGTGGCACATTAGGGCGAATCGGCCGGTAGTTGCTGCAGTCATCGATATCTCCCTTCTTTTTATATGTTGGCACGGTGACACTCTTTGACCAGTCCGTCGGGATCACTCCATCTTCCAGGCATTTTTGAAAAGCTGCGTGAGATAGGAGCGACCTCGGAAGTGCTTCCATAATAACGGGAATGTCATCTGCTTCATCTTCTTGATGGCACCTTCACTCACACCTCAGTATACGTGGGATGGGGCCTTTTGTCTCTATTATGGAAAGCGCCGGATGCGGATACTCGACGTTGCAGATTTCCTGGAAGTAATCTTGCCAGCGCTTCCTGATTTTCCCAGAGTCATACAGAAGCACTCCATTCCATGACCCAGATTTAATGAACGTCGTGGGGCTCGTAAAATCTTGCGTTGCTCTGGAGCGGGCTCTGGCAAGGCGGTGAATCTGCTTCTCTCCTTCTTTGGCATCCAGATCGGCGATGAGAGCTTCTGCCTTGCTCCTAATGACACTAGCAATTGTCCGTTTGGTTTCTCGCTTGGCTTCGTGGTACCTCATTCTGTTCTCTTCCGTAGGGTTGAGGTACTGAGCTTTGTACGCGCCTTTCTTTGCCTTGACCGCGTGAGACATCTTCGTTCTAAAACCAGGCCCGTCGGTCCAGTGCACGCTTAAATCCTTTCCTATAGCCGATGGGCCGCGCAGTATCTCGGATTACACCAACAAGTCTTTTCCAGTCATTCTCAATGTCTTCGAACGTGGCCTGATGGATCTTCATCGATAAGTGGTCCTTGACAGTTGGTCTCAGCTTAGCAATTCTGTTCCACCTCAAAAGCCTTCTGATGTTCTCGGCTGCTTGAAGGCAGATGAGTTGGCCGGTACCTTGATGGTCGCAATGACTGGACGATGTTGACTGTTGACCGTTACCGATGGATCACCTCGCAGTAGCACGTTGCTTCGTTGGCTCCTCCGTGTCAAAATGTAGTCGATCTGGGTCTTACGTCCCCCACTACAGTGGAGCGCTCACCGGACGTGGGCTTCTTCCACGACAAAAGCGCTGGCGAGCGTTCCGGTGATTGCGTGTCGATGGGAAGCCGAAAACTTTCAGGAGATTATCATCATTGCCTCTCCGTCTCTTACTCTGCACTCCGCGCTCTAACACACGCCAAAAATCTCCCCACCGCAACGCTAGCCCACTCTCCGCTCTGGACCGGTTTACCGATCGTATTGCATGAGCGCTCTGCAAATGCAGCTTGATATTTTTCCTCGCCGTATTTTCGCAGTATTTTTGCTAGATTCAGCTTGTGTAAAGCTGAAATTTTCCGCCTTTTGACTTCAATGTTCGAAGGTGAGTATTTTTACTGAAATTATTCCTCATTTTGCACGGAGCATGAAATTCCACAAGAAAGCTAAATCAGTAATTACCCGCACGGTACATAACAAGGCGGCGCCCCTTGATGCAACTCCGGCAGTGCACGTACGTATAGCACGTCACTTTACGACGGTACCACTATGATTGTGCGGAAATGCTTAACACATTGCAGTGTTCGACGATGGACGGGAGTTCCGCACATTTCACTTAAAGGCACTTTCCGCGATAAAATAAGGCTATGACCTTTCAAATGTGTCAGACGATCCGGAAGGAGATTGCGGAGGCTGCGCTACCTTTAGAAAGTGAAAATCGGAAGAATTCCGCTTTAAGCTAATTCAGGCCCATTGGCGCCCCTTAGGCCCATGCCGACCCCAACCGGCTGCTAGCTACTAGCTAGTAGCCACTATACTATCTCTCTTCATTCCGAATGGTGAGAGTGAGGTGATAAGATAAAAGAGCTGATATCTTTATGATAACGACGTGGAAGTGGAGTGGAAATTCGTACAAACATGCGTTTTCTTCATTGCATGCATGTACAAGTTGGGGTCGATATGGGATCCTATTTAGGGCATTCTCGGCTGCTTTTCCGCTGCTTTTCTCCGTCGCTAAATCAGATACCAACCCTTTTCTTCGTTTCCTATGTGGGTTCCCGTTACCCACAATCTGTGTCGCGGCTTTGCTTTAAGAATTTTTCGCCTCGACGTAGAGGCTCTGATGTTTGGCACTGCGCAGCGTAAGGGGATTCATAACGCTCACAACGCTTCTTTCTAGTTTTTCTATTTACATTTGGAGAATAATTACATGAGTATAAAGAGCCGAATTACTTTTAACTTACTCCAGACCAGAGAATTGT